AGCTGTAGAAACTACACCAGCTTCATGTGTTGTTTGGTTTTAACGCTGCAGTAAGTTTAAAAAATCATGACATTTCTAAAAGCATATATGACACTTGTTCCTTCAAATGGGATGGTGTAAAGAAAAACTCCAGAGAGAAGCTCAAATGCACCTCCACACACCTGGACAATGACTGTATAAAGTGGGTTTTTGTTGTCTATTATAGAATGGTACAAAAATAGTTGGATGCAGCCCCCCTGATCCCACTCTCCTACAAAGGTTATCATATACTGTTGGCACTCTGATTGAAACATACTGTGACCTTTAGGGCACTAAAACACTTTACTGAGGTTGGGGAAAGATTGTGGATTTGGTGAAATCGATGACTTTCATGACCCTAACCACGTTGGAGATTGTCTCAGTCCTGGAAGTTAACAGAAAAGCTACAGGAAGCGTCGATGTGCCAAACCTTGACAGAGGTGGGCTGGTTAACTAGACGTACATTTGCAAGACCAACCAGTTAGTCCTCAGGAGGGGTGGACAGTAACAGAGTACAATAACTCGAGTGCTGTGCTTTACTTGAGTTTCTCTTTTTTTTTGGAAACTCTTAGGCTTTTACTCCACTACACTTGAAATACAAATATTGTACTTTTGACTCCACTACATTTCTATGAAGTAAACCTACTTTGAAGCAGAGCTTTTAGTCTGTGGAATTATTTATTTTTTTATTTTGAAAATGCCATAGACCGCACACCGAGAAAAATCAATCACAGCCAGCTCCTCCACTGTCAGTCATGTTTGAACAGTTGAGTTTGAACCTGGCAGTGTCCTAACGATGGCTGGGGTAGATAAAAAAACGAGGCAGAAGATTCTTCATCAGAGCATTGTGGCCTTATTTCAAGGTCATGTTTGAAATTTTAGAAGCAAAACTGGTCAGCAATTCACCATCCAACTAGAGAAAGCATGTCAAGGTTTGTAATGTTTGTTTAATTCCAGATAAACTTTTAAACAGACAGCTTTTAGTAGTTCGCTCCACTTTTTCTTTTTGTAGATTCAGTTGTGTTTTTCTACAGGCTTTGTGTCATATTCTACAGGCTTTTATTCTACAGTTTCTACAGTAAGTCAGTTCATTTAGTAGCTTGTTTCAGAGTCATTAGGTTCTGTAAATCAAGTGTGTAACAATACAATTATGTGTTGACATAAAAAAATAATTTTGAATAAGTATTTTTAAAAATCAAGTACTCCAGTACTTTAATACAAATAGAAATTTGACTGAATAGCTTTCCCTTGTGCCATTATGTTTCATCAGAAGACTTTCAAACTGTATTTTTCGGATGATGATTATGGATGATGACCTCGGTTAAAGTGTAGTGCACAGCCACTGCCCAGAGCCTTTCTATAGGAGTGTCTGGGACTGTCTCATCCTCTGTGTGGGAGACATGCTTCACGTCAATGTTGACTTCTCCTATATTTAACCAAAATCACAATCTTTCCCTGCATAAAATGAAACATGTTAATCACACTTTAGTCGCCAGGGGGAGATATAATGAGAAAACTAATCAAATATGTTTTGCAGATATGTTTATGTTTATATGAGTTCAATAATGTTTCTGAGATTCAGGAGATAAAAACATTTAGGAGACAATGTTGCATCTTGAAACTATGAAAAGCAATAATTTCTCTAAATTGTTTTGAAGCTATAAATAATATTTTCCCCTTAACAACGCAGTGAGGATGGAGCACATGGAGCCGGTCCAGGTGCTCTCCCTCAGCAGAGCCCGGCAGGGGGAAGTGATAAAAAAATAAAAAACATAATAAAATGATTATAATGCAACATTGCTGCCAACTCGATGCAGAGCCGAAGTCCTGGAGCCAAAGAGTAATGTAATAAACATCAACCACCACCACCCCCCCACCCCCCATCTGCCCTCATCATGCAGTGTCTTCCTCCTGCTGCTGCTTCCATCAAAAACACAATTACACCGCTGCATACTGCTGGAAATCCCGGCTACTACGCCACTCTGCCAGCTGAGCCACACAGCTACCCGCGCTCACACACCTCTGGTTATAGATAGACTGCTGGTGGTGAGTTTCCACAGGCCAGAGAGCAGACGGACTGACCGAGCTGTATCATATCTCTAACACTATGAGGCCGCACAAACACAAACACGTGAGCTGGATGACTGGCTTAGTAGTCTTGGAGCTCAGCTGCCAACATGCAGCTGACAGCTTCGGAATAGAAACATGATAGTGGCAGACAGAGAGCTATTTCTACACCTGGTGTTAATTTGATTTTACTGCTGGTTAATACAGGCATGTGTGTTCAAATCAAAGTCAGAGACATTTTTCATTTGAGGCCTAAAGGAAAGACATTAAACTAGAAAATCTTGTGTAAACTTTGGATTTCCAGTGTTACACTCCTGGGTCGGGCTGGCAGGAGGGGAATGAACAGATTTCTGATTTCTTGCCAGGTTTCCAAACCTTAACCTGAGCTGACTCCAGATTTTGATACATTTTATAATCGAATCTGTGTGGAGGTTTTTCCTTGACTTTCTTCTCTAACTCTAACATTAATACACAAACATCTGTTTGCCTTAACTATGCCAAAAAATTCAATGGCATTTTAAGGCCCCATATCGTATAAAGGTAAATGTCCATGTCCTCTTTGAATATAAACCCGCTCTAGGTTCTATATATAGATGAAACGGTTACCGGTTTCACACTATACAACGGTAGAAATGGCAGACGCTTAGTATCACTGTTTTAGTATTTACCTGGTTTAACAGCACCGTGCCCTACAGGTGATAGGTGTGTCTACAGTGTCTGTGCTCTGAAAGATGTCACAGCACTGAAAAAAAAAATCTAGTTCTATATTAATACTGTGAAAGTATCAAAACGCTCAGTCCACAGAGAAATGCACACAGCCTGTATTCAGAAACTGGGCCTTAGAACAAACCGTCAGGACTTCTAGAACTCTGATGTAACAACAAAGCAGTCACCGCTCTCAGCCATGCCCAAAGTCCCGCCCACCTGAACCCACCATCCAACCTTGCAGGATTTGGTTTCTCTGAGTGTTTACCTCAAATCTGCTATATTTTTATTTGACCGATTAGAAAACAGTCAGCAACCTGTTGTTACTAGAGCTCCAGAGAGAAGCCTGAGAGAGGAGATGTAAAACTACATTGTGATGGTGTTTGGTTCTTAAAACCACAAATATATCTTCTTATGGATCAACACTTCAAATAAAACACAGGAGGAAGGTGGAAGATATGGGACCTTTAACCTTCAGGTAATTTTTTGTGATATTCTTTTTTTGTTTGCTTGTTGTGTGTTTTTTTTGGCTGTGTCTGCCTTTATCATAGAGCTGACAGCAAAGACAGAGACAGAGAGAGCAGACAGATTCCTTGCTGGATGTGAAGCAGGTATGTCATGGTTCATGGTGAGCATCTCAACCACTTTAAAAGCAGTCAATCCCCCTAAAGCACCTGCAGTAAATCTTCTCTTCACAAATGAAGTGAAAAGCCTCTCTAGAAAAATGTTAGTATATCCTTCCTAGCTGAGCATCTACCTTTTAGCAACAGGTCACATAGTTAGTTGGTTGAAGGATCCAAGATCATGAATAATGTTTTTCTTGGACTAAAACTGTGTATTGACACATGATGTCAGAGAGAGAGTATTTCTATTGATCCTCTTGGTGCTTCTGGAAGTAACTGAAATCATTTCTTTCTTACAAGTAACTATAGCTCATTATGTCCCCTAATATTCCAGGTGTTTGTACTAAATGGATGGAAGAGAAAGGTACTCTATTCCACTGTCTGTGGGAGTGTCCAAATATGATGATTAAGAGATGTTTGATACTAAAGTCCCTTTAAATGTCAAAATCTGTGTTCTTGGAATATATCCAAAGGACTTTGTACAAACATTAAAACAAATTAAACTTCTAGACTTTGGACCTCTTCACTCCAGAAGAGCCATTGCACTATGTTGGAAGAGTGTGGATGCTCCATCAATGAGAATGTGGACAAAGGAGCTTTAAGACTATGTTGGTCAGGGAGATATTTTTGTTTTTTTATCTGATATTAGTGCAAGTTGAGTGTGAGTGTATGTGGATGTGTGAGTATGTGTAATGTTGGTATTTTTGATCCTAAATTTTTGTATTGTTGCTGCATGTTGCAACCTGATAATGAAATGATAATAAATATATAGTGGAAATAACAGTTTAAAAACATAGATTATAAAACATGTAATATATAATTAAGTACAAAGATTAAATGTCTAAATGAAGGCAGTGGAGAATAGAGCAGTTTTTAGCTTCTTTTTAAAGCCAGTTACAGTTTGCACAGATGTGATATCCACTGGGAGCTGGTTCCAGCAGTGGGCAGCAGAGTGGATGAGTGCCATTTCTGTTTTAAGTTTTAACTCTAGGCACCACTAGCTGACCAGCTCCTGCAGATCTTAGAGACCTATTGGTGGAAAGGAACTGGTGGAAAAGAACAAGAAAAGGTGCAACACACATTTACCCTTTTCTGTGAGAGCTTGCAGTTTTGTCCAGGCCTTGAAATACTGTGGGAGCTTTGGAGAGATGATGCTTTGAAATCTTGCCCTTTTTCTTAATAAAGTAATCCACGTCGGGACCAGTGATACCAGCCTGGGGCAAATGAACCTTTACCTCAGGAAAGCCAGCTTGCAAAAGCCATAGCGACATTCTTCTTTGTCCCTGCTGGGATCCAAAATCTCACCAAAGCATTTTGAAACTAATCCCCAACTCTCGCTAAAATATGTTTCGTGGACTTCAGATGACAGTTGTGTTTTACTTATAACCTTATTGAACTGACCTACATTCACACATTGTCAGTATTTTCTAGCTTGTATTATTTTCTGCATTATTTGTTAACAGCCATTGGTCCACAGCAGTTTAATGTTGGTGGAGAAAGATCACAAGGATATTTGACATAAATCTCTGCTGGTCAAAAAGGAAAAAACTCAACATTCTGTACATAAACATACAGAGTGTGATTTACCTTGTTCTCTGTGTGGTTTAGATCAGGTGTCTTGGCTGTGGCGTCCAGATCAGTCACTCCTCTGTTGACGTTCAACTCCTCCGCTGCTACCACCGCTGCCACCTGGCTCACCTCTTCTGCATCAATGTCCGTCTCCTCAGCGACGGTCGCAGTCTTCTCTGCGCCTGTTAGCTCCCGAGCTGAGCCGAGGAAAGTACACACACATACAGGTGGATAAGCACGCACACCTGCATACACACATGTGGGCATGAGCATGTACACACACACACATGAGGTGGACACACATGAATAAACTCGAGTAAGAAACATCATACAGCCACAGTATCATATATGACTATATAATTGAATAAGATTCAATGTTTTAGCTGTTTAATAGTACAACTCTTAAGCAAATAAACAGTGAAGTTAGTCAACACATAACCACAGAAAGAGCTATAAGACATTGCAAATATAAATATACAACTCTTTCCTGGGAGTTTCCATTTTGTGTTTTGAGCATTTTAAACAGCATACCGGTTGTGGTTAATGCATTTTTAATGGGACAAATTGGTCCAAATGGGATACAGTTTGTGGTTTCAATGAAGCAGATATAATCAACAGTGGAGTTCAACAACATTAACAGTATTAAATCAACACACTGAAACAAATTTAAAAAAAAATCAAATCAAAAGTCTTAATTTCTAGAGAAAGGTGTTGATTTTGAAAACCTCCAACAATTATAACACTGTCTTTGTCTTTGGCGGTCCAAACCATGTGGAACGTTTTACTATTTCAAGTGTTTTTGATTTGCCTCACCAGAACAAAACACTGTTTGTCACATTTGCTGGAACTCTTCTTCTCTCCACTACAATGCCTGAAGTTGTTGGCTGCGTATCACAACCTCACCCGATTCAAAGTAAACTGTATGAGTGGAGAACTATGAGATGCCAGAACTCTGGTACAGTTTTAATTGCATTTTCTTGTTTAAACAAAGTTATAAACAACTGCCTATGAGACAAAATTGCATTAGCTCTCTGCCAACTAAAAATAACCAGGTGTACCAGGCGCTACAGGGACTGTGGTCACTTAAGTGGTAAAACTATTTCTACACAAAACAGATGGCAGGTACTAATATTTCCACAAAGCTGCCTCTAACAGACCCCTGAGAAGTTCCAGGAAAAATAAATAACTTTCAAATCTGAAAACTACTCAAAAGTAATCAACACATTTATGGGCACTCGTGTGAGAATTCATACTCCAAATAAATTGGGGGCAGCATATTATCAGAAAGTTGGGGTGTCCGCACCTATTGGAATAAACAAGCAAATCCTTGTCCCTCCCCCGTCCCCGTTCTCTTTGACATTTTTGGACTGGCAATCGGGCATGCCAGGACAAATCCCAGTGGGACCCGGCAGCAGTGGACCAATATGTGCCTGTCACTCAGGGTGCGCATGAGAACGTACTGTGTGCATGTGCAGTGGCTGGGTCCACTGTCCAAAGACAAGCAAGTTTCAACCCTGACCATCACCCGCATGTTGAATGAACATTAGCTTGAATAAATCTAACCTCAGCACAGGGTAGTTGTTGACATGTTGCCTGCATTGACTGAGGGAGTGATGTTTTCCGCACAGGTTTATCTGGCCATCTGATTATGTCAGATTATGTCCTTCTTTGGTTATTATTTGACTGACGATGGCGATTTCACACCTAGTCTGCCCAGTCAGAGAGACTGGTAGGATGTAGTGGTGGCAGGAGTAAAGGATGAGCCACAAAAGGTCAAGAAACATGAGAGAGAGGGAGAACAGCTGGAGCAGCAGCATCAACAGCTGAGCTGAGGAAGGAGTGGAGGAATATCGCTGAGAGAGGACGACTGCAACGCAGGTTTATAGCTTCTTAAAAATAACTTAAAAAATATTTAAATGAGGACTTCACAAATTCTTGACGATTCAAAGGAGTACTGCTGTGTTTATTTCGTGGCACTGATCCAACATTTAGCAGGGCGTGGCCAGATGTTTAGTGAAGCCAATTTTATATGAAAACATTATAAGAACAGTTTAACATCTTGGGAAATATATTTATTTACTTATTTACTTTCATGTCTGTGCGTGCAGTATGGAGCTGGAGTCAGGACAGGGTTAGCCTAGCTTCACATAAAGGAAACATCTGGTCTGGCTTTCAATTTAGATCAAAGAGACATCTGGCAACACCTCTTAAGACTGCTAATTATGTTTTATTTAATCCATATACATTTTCTTTAAGAAGAAAAAGAAATTTAAAGACAACAGTTGTGTACAGTGCTACGTACTGTAACTGTTTCAGTTTATCTATCTGCACTGCCTGGTATGAAATTCTAGGGAAAGAAACCAAAAAGTATGATTACAAATATGTGAAACTATTTCTTATTTCTCACATGTGAAGACAAGCTCCACAGTAGAATTACTGAGTCAGGTAACGTGTTGTTTAAACAGATAAAAAGATGGTGGGAAGTGCATAAGAAGCTGAGATTGAAAAGAAAATGGTAAAAGGTGACAGTAAGCCTGGTTGTTAAAGAAAAGCTGGTGGAGCTTTAAACAGGAGGTGACATTACTCTCCATTTCCTGATCACCACAGTACTCTTCCTCTGGCTCCTCTGACTCTACTGTTATATTCTCATATCCTCCTTTAAGCTGCCAGGTCCCTACTGAAAATCTGGGCCCATATTCACAAAAAATCTTAAGGCTAAAAGTAGCTCCTAATTTGCTGATTTCAGGGAAACTAACTTTAGGACTCTATTTTTCTGACGACTTACGAGGGAATAATGATCGTTGTGGAGTTTTTGAAGGATGCAATAAAATCTCCTACCAACCGAAACAACCCAATCAGTGCGGAAATTAAGTGTCTGGCAACGCTGCGCTACTTGGCAACAGAGACAGGCTGATCTATTCACCAAACAATAAATGCAGCCTGACCTACATTGTAGGACAGTTCATAGGATCTCCTTTGGATTTTCAACAACTACAGAGAAATAAAGCAGCTTCATGGTCTGTCTACCCGGTGTGATCGGTGCCAGAGATGTAAGCATGTACAAATTATTGCACCATCACAAGATGAGGAGGTATTTGTAAATAGGAAATCAAAATCACACCATACACACAGGTTGTAGTGATGCTGTCTGTACAGTTGCAGACATTGTTGTACAGTGTCCAGGATCTACGCATGAGTCATGGATCTTAATGGAGAGTGACCTGAGGCAGCTGTTTGAAAGGATCATATTCCAGCTGGATGTCACCTGGTGGGGGACTGTGGAAATCTTCTCACACCCCAACCCAAAGGTGGGACCACAGCTACATTTCAACAGGTACAGGTACAACAGGCTGTAGCTATTAAGCTGCCAGTGAGGTTTAGTTAGGTCGTCTATGACAGATGAGCTTTTTATTGTAAGTTTTTATTGTAAAATTAAATTCTCCCGAGTTGACACAAACCTGATCATACAGATGCATTTTGGAGAATGCACTACTTTTGTAAACAGCACAGAATATGTTAATTTTTCATTTGTATTTGTTTATTTCTCAGTGTTTTTTTTTTTTTTTTTAATTATTACTGTGGGATGTTGTAGATGCATTTTCAGTGGCACAGACAATCTTTCATCAACCATTGGCTGTGCTTCCTGCAAGCGAGCTCGTCCATGAAAATTGACGTCAGCCATAGCAAAGGAGTCATACTCTTAGCTTAGGAGTTTTCACTTTTCCTTAGTAAAAGATGGTCTCAGCAGCTTTGTGAGCAGCAGCAACTTTTAGTTAAACACTTTCAGTGTGACTTAGGGGTACTCTTAGTGGTAAGATAAAATGCTTTGTGGATACGGGCCCTGATCTTTTATCTTCCTTTCACCCAAATGAAATCTGACTTTAATGGAAATGGACAATTACACTAAATGTTTAACTGTGCTTGATTTGCCTTCCCACACATTTTCTTTTTTTTTTCATCAAACTTCAATTCAAATAACTCACACACACTTTTAAATTTGCTCAGTTATTCAATATGTATTTTGGTGCCCATATCTAGCCGTTTCCTTCACGCTTCCTGTCCTTTCCTTCTTTCATCATCATTGCTGCTCCTTCTCCTTCTACATCATACCTCCGCTGTCCATCACACCTCCACCATCTCTTGTCTGCCTCTTTTTCCCATATAAACTTGACTTCTTCCTCCAGTGCACGCAGCTATTAGCGCTGTCCTGCCCCTACACTTAAACCTTATATCCAACAATCTGGCACAAGCACACTGTGGCCTCTTCTCCCTCCTCAAAATCCTCATCCTTGATAACCTGCTGCCAGCACCAAGCTGACTTGTCTCTCCATCACCGCTCCTCTTCCTCCTACTTCCTATCCAGATCAGTGCTGTGCTGCCCTTCCTCCTGCTTTGTGCTGCTGACATGTCTTCCTGCCCTCTCCCACTTCACTTGCTCTGACTTAGATTTTTAATTCAATTTAACTGACAGAAGACAGAATAACTGTCTCTTTGTGAAGAGACAGTTATTCATTTTACTACATTACAACATTCAAATAGAGAAAGGTGCAGATATGAGCTTTGCACTTTGAGCTCTGTATGAACTAAATAAAAAGACTCAAATAGAACAGCAAGGAAGCTGCGAGGATACCAAATGAATGTGAATTGTGTGAGACATGGAATAGAAAAAAAGTACAACATATGAGCAGATTCAATTACTTTGTGTGAAATGCGGAACTGAAACATTTCTTGAGTTTAATGCAAAATATACCCAACAGTGGTGAGCACTGACACTGACAGCAAGAAGGCCTTTCTGTGTGGAGTTTGCATGCATGGTACTTTGGCTTCCTCCCACAGTCCACAGACATGTAGGGTTAGGTTAATTGGTGGCTCTAAATTGCCTGTAGGTGTGAATGTGAGTGTGAATGGTTGTTTGTCTCTGTATATCAGCCCTGTGATAGCAAACTGTCCAGGGTGTACTCCGTCCTCGTCAGCTAGGATTGGCTACCCTGCCCGTGACCCAAGTGGTATGGCTAATGAATGAATATTTCATGTTTTTAAATGACATTTCAATCACACATAAACTCTTGAGCCATTGTCAATGAAATGTGGTATTTCTCACATAGGTTCTTGATAGGTTAGGGGCTTGTGTCTATCGTCTATGTTGTTGCTTTTGTCTCAGGGTCATCAACTGTGCTTGGCCCTCCATTAGTAGATCTTTTTCAAGTTTTTATTTTGGTATTTTGCCTTACTGTGAAGGTTAGTGGCCCAGATAGACAGGAAAAATATGGAGAGAGAGGGAGAGAGAGGGGGATAACATGCAACAGAGGTACAAAAAAATCTAATTGGAGACATTCCAATTATATGGTTCATGCATCCTAGACCACTAGTATATTGTTTTTATTTTAACTTGTGGGGTTAGGCGAACTGAGTAACATTACTATCCTGTTTGTGTTAGAGGTCATTTGTCCCGTCAACTAAGTTATTGGCCTAGTTGTCATTGCAATCAACAAATACTGATGGATTGTTGGTGCTTCATATCTTACTGTAACTTATTATAATAAAATCTACTGTATGTGAGGTGGTTTTATGTATCTATCTATTTTGTTGCATTATTTATGATGTGTATTGGTTGTGTTGACTACTCTTGCAAACCAAATTGCCCCTCAGGAACAATAAAGACTTTTTTTTAAAATCTAATCTAATCTAATATAGGATCATAATGTTAGTATATCTTGAATATGCAGTATAAAATAATTCATCTTATCTGCTAATGAATGGCACATTGCAAACAGTGTGGTTTGTTTTTCTTGACATGTCCTTTCGAGTATATCCAGTACAAACTACTTTGCTCCCTGGAGATAAAGACGCTATAATAACATCATACTTAATTGAATGATTTGCCTTATTTATTTAAGTTACTCACCACTAAAACTACTTAAAGAAGTGAAGCTGGATTGGAAACAAGTCTAAAAAAGCCTAAATAGCTTGTTCAGGTAAACGTTTTTTTGTTCTGTAGATTTATTCCACAGACGACATTAACATTAGTGAATATTGCTGACACGCCATTAAGAACCTTCATCATGTATCCTGCAGGCTTTAATTCAGTGTTCAGTACTTAGCGTTCACTGAACTGCTGAATGGAAGTGCCTGCGGCGTGGTTATGTCTTATGCTAATGTGAACTGTAATGATAGTTTGTCCACTGAGTGGGCATCATTAGTTCCAGTGATGTAAGCTTCTATACATGCTTGTTTGTTTGCCAATAAAATCAGATTGTTTATTTTATGTTGCAGAACTTTGTGCAATTATTCTGAAATACTGCAGAAAAACTTTTTTTTTTCTTGAGAACAAAACATCTCTTGCCCCACACTTTTTTCCCTCTCCTCTTTTCTTCTGACTCCCTGCTGCTCGGCCTCGTTCTCCATCCTCTCATCTCTGTAATCCACTTCTACATTTCATCTTTTCTTGCTCCTCTGTTCCTTTTTCCTCTAATATCCATCTCTTCCTCCCCCTCCCCTGCGCTATCCCTGCTATCCAGATTTCCGTTCTTCTAATCCACTATCTCCCACTCTCCTATCCCTTCTCCTTTCATTGCCATGATAATTAGTTCTCCAGATAAGCTCATTGGTTGTGCATGGCAGCTCTTGTGTTGCCTAACACACCATGACAGCAAGTGTGCAAGTGTGTTTATGTGTGTGTGTGTGTACAGGATTGCATTTGTATGCATGTGCGGTCGTTTCACTGTGTGTGGATGTACAGTTATAGCGCGTGGGTGATCTCTGGGCTCATCAGCATGTGAAAGCCAGCTCGTCTCTGGAGGGCTGGAGGGGGGCGTGGAGATAACGTACCCCAGCCTGACGCTCTCACATCAGGGTGGGAGGCTGACCACTGCTGGCTGCTGTAATGACTGGAACGGTGGAGTGAAAGAGCCGAGCTTGTGGACTCTTCCAACTGCTGAATCTCCATGTCTGTCATCTCAGACCCCCCTCGGAGGCACGTGTCCCCCCGTGCCGCAGTGAAACCCATCCTGTCCAGGCATGAGGCAGCGGATAAAAGTAGCTCATCCCACCAGTGTTGTTGTGCAGTCTTTCTTTGGGTTGACTCATCCGTGACATTCAACCCAAGCATTGCACTCTCCTGCTTGCCAACTTGGGCACAATGCAGGCAGGAATTAGCACGTCTGTGTGTGTTTATGCGTATGTGTGTTTGTATGTGTGTTTGTGTTTGTTTTTGTGTGTGTGTGTGTGTGTGTGTGTGTGTGTGTGTGTGTGTGTGTGTGCATGTACAGCACAATCTGTTTGTGCTATCTGATGACATGTGACTATGACAATTGTGTAGGTGTTTGTGCGTGGTGGAGAATGTGTTGACAAGGCTTCGGATTTTGCATTATTTTTGGACTATACATTCAATTTCCACCATCTCCACTGTTTCCTTTATGATACAGTTTTTACACTTTTTTTTAGTTCTATTTGATGACCTAAAAATAAAAATCCGCCTGGGTTTGTTTATCTCGTCTCTCTAAAGGGATGACGGATGAGCTCTGCACCTCTGCTGAGCTGAAACCTTGTTCACACGGGGGTGGATGGATCCTGGCGGCTGCTCCCAGGAACTTCCTTCCTGACCCACTTCCCTACAATACCCCTTCAAATGATTTAAAGAGACACTGCAGCTTCTTTCAACTCAGGTTGTATTGTCATAGCATCATCAGTTCTGTCAGTAACGATAACATGAGTTAACTAAACAACTGCTGAGAAACAGGCTGTAAATCAGTGGTTTTCTGTCGGGCCATCTAAACTACTGTGTTTATTAAACATGGACCTTCAGGGAGAGAGGCCACACATTCAGTGACAACTGTTAATGCTGTCATCTGGGCAACTAAACTGATTGTGAAACAGAATGCATCGGGATCTGTCCCATTTAGCTCAGCAAATGACAATGACTGATTAATCACATCATTTGGTACAGTAGCTTCAGGATAAAAAGTAAATAACAAGTAAAAAGACAACAAGTTTAATTTTAATATTGTCTAAAGGCAGATGTCCATGTGTTGTTTGATTATAAAGCAGGTCTAGCTTCTATATTAATACTGTGAAAGTATCAAAGCCTCAGTCCACAGAGAAATGCACACAGCCTGTATTCAGAAACTGAGCCTTTAAACCAGCCGTCAGGACTTCTGGAACTTTGTGATGTCACAACAAAGCAGTCACCGCTCTCAGCCATGCCCCAAGCCCCACCCACCTGGACCCACCATCCAACCTTGCAGGATTTGGTTTCTCTGAGTGTTTACCTGAAATCTGCTATATTTTTATTTGATCACTCAGAAAACAGTCAGCCAATCAGAAGAGAGGCTCAAAGTCTCCTCTCTTCTGATTGGCTCACCGACCTGTTGTTACTAGAACTGCAGAGAGAAGCCTGAGAGGAGATTTAAAACTACATTGAGATGGCTTTTGTTTCTTAAAATCAGAAATATATCTTTTTATGGATCAAAACTTCAACTAAAACACCAGGAAAAGTGTAAAATATGGGACCTTTAACATATGTTGACGTAAGTTAATGTGAAGAAAAAGGTGTCAGCAATGAGTTTAACATTTGGTCAGGGAGCTACTTCAAAAAATACACTGATTTGAACCCACAGCCAATAGCCAGCTATAAAATAACATTGCAACTCTAGACAGTATATGTTTTGTTCTCAATTTTAAGAAAACATTCAAAAAATTTTCTGAACAGACTCCCTGTCTCCTCCATCAGCAACACTCATCTCTCTGGCACACTGAACTCTCAACTGTTATATCAAATCCACCCACATGTCTGACTGCCTCTGCATTTTCTCTGTTGCTCTGCTTATGCAAAAAAAACCCATGCATGTTCTGTTGTGTTTACCTCTGATAAATCACCTGCTGTGTGTCGTGTGTTTCTAGCCTTTCTGACAGAATTATACCTTGAACGTCTGAGTCCAACGTACAAATTGATGTTCAATGATAATCGAAGAATACAAGAACAGCTACTGATGAAAGTGTGATGACAAACTAAGAAAAAAACCCTCTCCTTCAAGAGAAACGTCTTTCTAATAGTCGCTGACTTCAAGATTGAAACATACTTTTTTCCTTTCAACAACTTTTATTAAAATGCAGCACTCCACAACAGACATTCAGCCTGCACTCTGTATTCCTCTTGTCTAATATCACCTTCTGATTCTAAGTTACTGTATAATTTAGAAGTGAACCAGCAGTAAGCACAGATCACTACATCTACTGAAAAACAAATAAGTCAACAAACTGTGTGGCAGGTGCATGTTGCTGTGTGTGTGTATGTGTACCTGTGATGGAGGAGTCGTTGCCGTTCTTCTCACTGTGGCAGTCCTCCTGTCCGTCCGCGTTCTGCTGCGTGTGCTGCAGACTCAGCTTATGACAAACCTCGAAGGCCTGGCCAACTGTTCGGACGATACGCATGGCCTGACTCTAGGTGGGCAGGGGACAGACGGACACATAAAGAAACACAATTGTAATTCTCAGAACACAATCTTTTACACTTTTATGTTGCCATTTGTTTCAGAACACTCATTACTGTCCAGCGTTTTGCAGTCAAACATTTGATTCCATGTTATGTCTTCTTCATTTCTATGCTGATGACACCCAGTTATATATTTACCTCTAAAGCTCACAGATCCTAGCAGCCTTGTTACCTCTCTCCTTTCAGACATTCTCTTCTCTCTTCACACTTCCTGTCAGATCTTTTTTTTGATTTGAGATGTTTTTTTTTTTATTCATGTTGTTCTCTTTTTCTTATGCTCAGGTACTTTGGACTTTTCTTTTGTCTGGTTTTAATTTTTCCTGTAAAACACTTTGTAACTTCGTTAAGAAAGGTTCTATATAAATTAAGTTATTAAAAATATTATATTACTACATTATTATTGCTTGGATTGAGTTTCTTTTCCTTATTTATCCTGCAACTCAGTTCTTATTCTTATTCTAAACAAAGGTAAAAGGTAAAACCTATCACTTCTCATGTACCTGGGGATTTTCCCAGAAAATACTACAGTCTTGAGCTTTTTTCCTCTGGTGTCAGATTTAGACTGGACCCAGATGTGCTGCAGAAATTAGTGCATTTTGTATCAATGAGACACAATAGACAGTTCATAAATGTAGGGCTCATATTCAGCTGCTAATTCAGTGTCATGTGAACTAACTGTTGTCTGTGTTTACTGTCCACAATGTAGTTTCTATGGATTTTTGTTTTATAACCTGGGGTGCATCGACTTGGATGTGTCTGCTTATCTCCCCTCTTTCCTCTTCCCGCCCCGCTCTGAAAAGGCAGGTCGAGTGAAAACAACTTAGGTGACTTCTATCTTGCCATCTGCCCTCCCTTGTCTGTCTTGTCAGACAGTAGAGAGGCGCAGAGGCAGAAAAGATTTCATTTTAAAGCACCAAGGCCTAGCCTCCAAACACCACTCCTCCTCAGCTGAATGAGCAGAACAGATGCATCATGGCCTGAGAGCCAGAACAGAATCAAGACTCTGCCAAAGGACAAAATCCTTTCTTGTCCCCATGATCAACTCTGGAGCAGTCTTAAAGTCTTGTCCCACAAAGTCTTCATAAAATCAGAACGTTTTGTGACCTCAGGCTCAGAATCAGATGAAAAAATATACTTTATTAGTTGCATCTGGGTGTTTTATTGCATTAAAAGCATGATCTACATTACTGTGACAAAAAATAAATAAACTAAAATTACCACACTGCAGTAGTATGCCTCCAAGTTGCGGGAAATATGGTCACAATCTCTCCTGCCTGAGTTACAACATTAAATAATAGCAGAGGTGTTTTTTCAGAACATTATGATGTCACAGTGAAGTTGACCATTGACCATTTGGACATGAAATGTCATCACTTTCACAAATTCACATATCAATTATGTCATAATTAGTGTGTGAATTTGTGAGTCATGGCCAAAACAGTGTTTTGTGAGATCACCGGGACGTTGACCTTTGAACACCAAATGCCAAATTTTAAGATGTTCCTTCAAGGTGTTGCTGAGATATCGCATTCATGATAATGGGATGGACGGACAACCCGAATACATAATACCAGAGACATAAAAACACAGTGACATCCATTGAAAATTGGTCGATGGACAGGACATGAGCCAGAGTAGAATCATTACATTTTGGTGCCGATCCATTTAAAGTGGCAGATCCAGGAATTATTTTACCACTTCTGAGAGAGGGTATTTTCATCAGTATCTCAGGAAATAATGTTTGGATCCTGATGTAAAAAATCAGACATATTAATGGTGTTGAGATCTATGACTTTGTACAGTTTGGTGCAGATCCATATTAATCTGGATCTCCGGATATGGAGAAAAAAAAGTCCATGCACAGCATTGTGTTTGATTGTGTGTTTTCCAGACAGTCAATGTATGCGTAAGGGGAGCCTCAGCCTTTGCTGTGTTCACTGTGTTCAATAACACCAGTTTCTACTCTCGTCCCCTGTATGAGTGCCTCTAGAAATGTCTTCAAAGGAAAACACATGTGTTTACTGTCAAGCTGAGGACCCGTATGGGGTGAGAAGACATGAATAAAGGGTCCATAGAGGAGGAAGAGGATGAAGCGGAAAGAGAAGACAGCACAGCATAGTAGAGAGACTGGACAGTGGGTCTGAGGAGGATAGTAATCTGGATCTCACAGACAAGTGGACGATTGTTTGGCTCCATTCTAGTTTTACGTCTTGATATGTTGACAGGCTTTCACTCTGTAGAGACAGACACCATGATGGTAAATTGAAAAATTCTGCCTAAACCACCTTTAGCTCTTTCCTCATTTGTCCCTCTGACACCTGTCTTCTCCTCTTTTCAAATTTTCTGGCCATAAGTATTAATATCCTGCAGTGGATAAGACAAATGGATCTGACGGCATTGAGGAAAAATAAGATAAACTGTTGTCAGTTGAAGAGAAAATTGCTTTGGAGCAGACAAGACATCAAACTAACAGCCATATAAAAAATACTGTCAGGTGCATTGTCTTGTGTGTTTAAGAACTTTATGGGGAGCAACTGCATTTGCACTTGTTATATGATAAGATTGTTCAGAGATGGGAATATACTGTTTCCACAACAACCTTCTATCCTTTGCTCTTTTCCTCCTCAGACCCACTGTTCAGTCTCTCTACGCTGTGCTGTCTTCTCTTTCCTCTTCATCCTCTTCCTCCTCTATGGACCCTTTATTCATGTCTTCTCACCCCATACGGGTCCTCAGCTTGACAGTAAACACATGTGTTTTTCTTTGAAGACATTTCTCATACAGAAGACGAGAGCAGAAGCCGGTGTTATTGAACACAGTGAACACACCAAAGGCTCAGGCTCCCATAACTCATACACTGACTGACTGGAAAACACACAATCAAAAATGTGCATAGACTTTTTTATCCTCTAAGTTTGTGTGTACCTTACTTTCTTTCTAAGCCCAAACTTTGACTTTTCAGTGGCCTTGAAGAAAAGAAATACACCATTTTACCCCAAACTGTTTAAGTGCAACCATTTCATCCAAATGTCAACATTTTTGCGGCCGTTTTTCTGGTTCTGGCACAAGATGATGGCGTCCCCATTCAACAACCCCCTATTTTTAATATATTAAACCTGAACACAAGTGTGCAGGGTTGGTGTGTAGTGGTAATATCAGCCTCTAGGTAAAAGGTGAATTTTTAGCAGGCACTTTGGATCCAAAACTGCAGCCGGCAGCTTCACCGTCTGGTCTTTAATCTTCAGTACAGTAAGCAGCAGAGAGTCCTTCCATGTGAGGGCACTGCAGAGGTCAGGGACATATCTTTAGAGCATATCAAGTATAAAGGCAAAAGCTAGTATGAGAATGTATGTATATTTAAATACCCTGAAGCCAGTGCAGGAAGTGAGGAAGAGCAGAGATGTTCTTTGCTCCAGTTAAACTCTGCCAGCAGCTTTTTGTAAGCTGCAATTGTTTTATGGACTTTTGGGGGAAACTGAAGAGCAATGTATTAGAGCAGTTAAACTGTAAATCATAACTATAGCCAAACTGTAATAAAACCTGAAATACTGCCTTTTGGTTGTCTGCCTCCGCCACTCAGACTAGTTTCAGGTTACATCCCTGTTTATCCAGCATCATACAAAATATGAACCAATTGTGTGACATTTTGTCATAGTTGCTGTGTGAAGTCTTGGGTTATGGCCAAAAAGTGTTTTGTGCAGTCAAACTGACCTTGACCTTTGACCACCAAAATCAATCAATCAGCTGATCTTTGAGTCCAAGTGAATGAAGGGATTCCCTTGAAGAGTTATCAAGATATTATATTCACAAGGCCAAAACCATGTTTTTGAGGTCACCGTGACTTTTGACGAAAATCTAATCAGTTCATCCTTGAGTTCTAGTGAATGTTTGTGCCAAATCTAAAGAAGTTCTGTCAAGATGTTACTGAGATAACGTGTCAACGAGAATTGGACGGGTGGGCCACCCGAAAACATTAAGCCTCCGGCTCTGACTGTCGCCAGCACGAAGACATGTCAGGAGCCAGCCTCAAGTGGCTATTGGAGGAACTGCAGTTTTTAGCACCTCTGTTGTCGGAGGGGGCTGCTTGTTCATACCCCCTCGTGTACAGACTGTCAACACTGGATTCTACATTTCCTAACTTTAACCGTGTACTCTTCTTGCACTTATTAAATACATGTGGCACTTATTGAACAGATGTAGTACTTACTACTTACACCAAGGTTTCCTACTGCACTGAAGCTTTAGTGATGTCCCTCACCTGTAAGTCGCTCTGGATAAAAGTGTCTGCCAAATAAGTAAATGTCAATGTAACCACAACCGCGATATTCCTTTTTACAATAACCAAGGAGTTTTAGTTGGTTGAACTGGGCTGATCAGAAAGAGAGTCCTTATATATTGTTAATCCCTTATACAGTAGATGTGTCCTGTCAGACTATTCACTGTTATTTACACCTTTGTTAAATGGATTGTCACTTCCAACTACCCACACACTTTATCTTTTCACTCACTTTTTGTCAGGATGGTTGTCCTGTATCTTGCCCTGAGCCAACTCTCCGATGGATCTCCAATTATAGCGGCTGACAAGACTTCTGGGAGATTTGTCACTCAAATGCAAAGACTGTATATCCTGCTGTAAAGATATGAAGTAGTTCTTAAGTTGGACATCTGTCACTATCTCTGTATGCCCCCACCCCCACCCCCCCCACCCTGTCTGTCAATTCAACTGAATAAATGCGCCCTCTCTGCATCTCCCTCTCTTCTCTATATATCAAGCTGCCAGACAGCTGGATCCGTGCAGCAGATAGGGCCAAGAGTCAAAAAGCCCGATGCATTATTTATCCCAGATTACCCACAGAGCTTCAGCTGTGCTTTCTCTGCCCTCTTGGAAGTTTTGGCACAAGCAAAGAGACAAAAAGGAATATAATGCAATCCAGAAAAAAGCAGGGTA